ATATTTTAATCTCTATCGTAACTTTATAATAAGATAAGTCGTTTATCTTATTAAATAAAATATTATATATATATATATCACTGTCAGTTTATAATATATTAATAAAATAATAATTTTTATTTTGATCCAATTGCTTAAATTTCTTTTAAAAAAAAAAAATTATTTAAAAGATTGAGATTTTAATTTATATATATAAAATTTTCGTGTGTATAAAAATTTAAAAGGAATGCTAAGAATTACTTTAATTTATAAATAAGTATATTTTTTTATTTAAATTTAATTTTTGTTGATACATTTCGAAAATATAATATTATTGATAAAAATTCGTGGTTAATTTAATTTTTTTAAGATATTCATTTCAAAATAGTTTTTAGAGACAGAATTAAAATTTTCAAGTAACATTAAAATATTAATACAATATTCAAATCACGAAATAAAATCTGAATTCTAAAACTGATATAAATGTTTTTATATAATTTTCAGAATGATATTCAAATTTTAGTACGATATATTATATAACACTAACGACTCGAGACTATTTTGAAGATTACAAAATTACAGAGAAAAATCTAACTTTTAAAACTGATATAAATGTTTTTATATAATTTTTAGAATGGTATTCAAATTTTAGTACTATATAAAATGTAACACTAAATTGCAAGTCACGAATTTATGTGTGTGTGTGTGTGTGTATATATATATATATATAATATTTGTCTTGGTAGAACTTTAGTAAGTTTTCAAAATAACAAAATGTAGAGTACGTTACATTATTTCCAATCCATCATTCTTATACTTGGCTTGTTTCAGAAGCATTTATATATCTCAAAAGTAGGTTTTATATGCTTATTCGTTAAGAAAGAAAGAAGAAGATTTTATTTTGAACTTCATAAAATCAACAAAAGTTAGTTCTTTACCTTCTGACTTGCACAGAAATAATTATAACATTAATAATTACAATTTGGGAATTTGCAATCTCATAAAAAGGAAGAAATAGTTATATATATATAATATATATATATATATATATGTATCTACCAATCATGTATTTTCTAATTCTTTATCTTCCATTTTCAGAAGCAGTTGGAATCATCCATGAAAAAACGAACTGTGAAACCCACCAATCAAAATCTATATATTCACCGGCCAACATTCTTTTAATGCACTGTAGTTGATTGCTCCTATGTGGGTGAGTCCATGCAGGAAATCACTTCCATCTCCACTTTATCATATACACAAGCAAACCCAGTAACAAAAAGCCTAATATGAATAAGACAAATAAAAAGAATGTAGTAATATTCCTGCAGAATTTAAAGCCTCATATATATATATATATATATATATTTGTGTGTATGCCATTTTCAGTGGTAAACAGCTTGTTCTCCATTATCATTACTTGGATAAGCACTTCATTGACTAGATGGCAAGTGAGACTACAAATTTTTCTTCTTCATCTTAATTTTCGACTACTTCTTTCCAGGCCCAATTGCCCAAAGCAGGGGACTTTGGAAAAAAATCACTGTGAATCGCATATGGCAATGTGGCATAGCAGGCAAAAGTGACAAGAAACGAATTTGCAGAGGGGACATACACACACACATATGTCTGTAATATTGAGATAAACATGGTATTAAAACAATACCAACATATAAAAAGTTAAATGTTGTAAAGGAAATAGACTGGGAGATAAAAAGTTAAATGTTAAATGCAATAGACTGAATCGAAGTTCAAACAAAAGTATAGACCTAAACAGGTTTCTCAGTAATCTGGTATAACCATCTATGTAAAACAATGAGGCTAAAAATTCTAAGCAGCACCGAGTTCAAACCTTCCCCTGAATCCGTTCTGTCTCATAACTGTAACCAGGCTCTCCACGTAATTAAGCATATAAGGAGCTATAGGTCCTGCTTGAATTGAGAAAGGCTTGGTCTTCCCGGTACATGGGTCATACAAGCCGATGGCTCCATCTTTTAGTGCCACTAACAGCTCTCCGCTATTTCCAAATCCTAATGGCTTCATTATAGTGAAAGGTTTGATAGTGAACTGATTAGTCCATGACTCCGCAACACCGTATTCCTTCATCAACCAGATGTCATAGCATGAATCTAAGTTTGCATCCATGTATGAAACAAACATCGCAAGAGATCCCTTGCATGCAGATAAACTTCTTGTACTTGGAGCATAACCGAAATCCGGAGACATCATTTCCCCAAACACTTCATTACTTATGTCAAAGGAAACAATTAAAAAAGTTTTGGAATTTTCCTGCCTATTCACTCTAACTGCTTGCCAGTGAAATGCACCGTTCACCACTGCTTTACATGAACTCTCCCGTACTTCTCCTTCCACAGTGTTGTCAGCACCCCTCCAAGAATTACCATACAGTGTCCAGACCTCTGCTTTGGAGCAATTTTTCCCTTCATTGTTTATGAATCCAGTAACTCTTACTAATTTATAATCCTTATTAACTGAATCATACCCAACCCCAAAACAGCCCTTTGAGTCGGCAGCTTTCATGGTGCTACATATTGCCTTGGATTCTCTTATTGCAGGATTGATGAAGTAAAAGTCTGCAGCAGGATCTGAACTTTTGCGAGCACGCACGCATAGCAATCCATTACAACATCCAATTAATGTGATACAAGCATATTTTTCATATGGTATGTTCAGATATATGAACTCGCTGTGTGTTTCTTGAGTAAGCAAGTTCACAACATGCTTTCTTAATGTTGTATCGGTGTTAATTGCAAGGAAAGACTCTTGTTCCTTGTTGTTTTTGCTGTCAACTGTGGACTGATGCAGGTGCATGTCTACCAAAGCAGGTTGATTTATGAGATTATACCATACTTTGCAGACAGACTTGCATGTCATCAGTGTTTTCACAGGTAATCTTGCAAGGATGCGAATGGTAATTTCGTCGGGCAGATAGGTTGCCCCGACAGCAGCCATGTAGCTTTGCGGTTCAGGATGACTCCTCCTTTCTTCTTCTAGAGCTACAGAGGCTGATGAAATCGGCAGCTTAAACATTTAGCATCTCAGCGCCAAATTCCCTAATCCAAATATGAGAATGTAACAAAGAAAAAATGAAATGTACTAGCAAGTAGCAGATATAATGTAGGATTATAGGTTCATCCACAAGGAAACATATAGGATTAACTCGAAGAAAACGTTTCCCCTTCTCTATGATTGCAGGTATCGATCATACACACACTGACATACAGGTAAAAGCTTCAATCGCCACCATAGTCACCGAACTCTCTGTTCTTTCTCCTGAAGATTCTAATTTTCTCGAGAAAGTCAAACAATCAAGACTAAACATGGATTTCACTTTTTCTAATCTAAACAAATTTGAAAGCGAACAAGAAAAAGCTTCAGAAACAACCGATCAACGAAGGGCTACCAGAATTCAAAAACAAAACGATGAAACACGGACAATTTATCGAGAACTCGAATCGATTAACAAATGAGTTGAATTTGAATATGAAAAAAGAGTGGAAAATCAAAGAATTTGGGACAACTTACAAGGAGAATCAGCTCCGATTAGGTTGAGAAAAGCTCGTTTGAACATCCGAGTAACGCAGCCAGTGTCTGTGGATTCAACAGAACAGTCGTCTCATTTCGCTGCTCTCCCTCTCTCGCCCACGTTTTAAGTGCATTCTGGCTCACACGCCAGCGTTTGTTAGAGCGTGTGGGGTCCATATAATACGAGGTTGGGCTGCTTAGGCCCCCAGTAAATCCACGTCAGCTCTGACCCCACTTCAAGTTCCGCTCTCTATTTTTCGGATTACCCTATTTAATTTTAAATAATTATGGAGATTTACTAAATATTTTAAATAGAAATTGATGTAATTATCATATCATATAATTATAAACGACGACGTTAGAGAATTTTAATTGAAATACGAATTTTGAATTATTTTTTAAAATATATAAAATAACTATAGAAAATAAAAGATTAATACAGATTAAATTTTCACTAAAAATATAACTAGTGCATCGAAACCAAATTATGTACTTTTCGATTTTAATTAAATCTAATTAATTACAAATTAAATATTATTTTTTTATAAAATTAATGTTTATCACATTCTTAAAATAATAAATTGTATTATTTTAAAATTTATAATTCTATAAATTAAATTTTACCACGTAATGGTAAAAAATTTTAAAATTTTCAATTAAAATTTATTTTTATAAAATTATTTTGATTTATCACGTCTTTGTATAATCAGAAATTTTTTGATGAGAAATAAAAATTATTTTTGCGATTTATATTTCATTTTTAATATTCTAAAAAATATAGTAAATAAATATTAATAATAATAAAATAATTATGTTATTTTATTTAAGTAAAACGTATAATAATATAAGATATTAAAATTCTTTTCCAATTAAAAATCCTTTAAAAAGGAAATTCCAAAAAGTTGAGGGTCATTATTGTCATTTAATTTCAATAACAAAACCTGGTAGCGTAAATTGGACGTCATTTTTATCATTTAAAAATAAATTGCCATCATTTCCCTCCATTTCTCGCACGCACTCTTTTGATTTCTCTGTCTGTGTTTGATGATTGCGCTGCACTACACCTACACTGTACCCTCGCTATAAAAGCCATCGATTCCGTCGCGATTGTTTTCTTTCTTTCCATCCGTAACAGAAAAGGTAACCCCCTTCTTCTTCTTCTTCAATTGCTCTCGTATCCTCTGTCTAGGGTTTGCATTCCATCCTATCTTGCTCGGAAAAACCCTAGAATGTGGAGCTGTTCAATATTTATGATTCTCGAGGGTTTAAAATATGTCTAAGTCCATTTTCTTGGCATCTTTTTGCAGGTTTTGATTGAATCTCGTATTGTGCGCTTCGAGTTGTTTTTTCCTATTTCCGAGACTTCTCTAGGTACTTTTTTTTCGAACTCTTTCGTCTTCTTTCTTACTTACTGATTTTATTTCCCTGATTCGTTTCCGATTGTTGCGTAGTTTCACTTCTCTATTAGCTTCTAGTAGTTTAGCGTCAGAAATTTTTGTTTATTTATTTATCTATTACAGCGTCAGAGATTATCAACTAATTTACGTCTGAATTGAGAAAGGTTGTTTGGCTGTGTTAAAATCAACTTGTGAACAAGTGCTTAATCACTTGTAGTTTATTTATAATGTTTGTACCGAAATTTCACTTCTCTATTGGTTTCTTGTGGTTTAACGTCAGAAATTTTTGTTTCTTTGTTTACTTATTACAGCATCAGAGATTATCAACTATTTTACGCCGAACTGGGAATGATTGTTTGGCTGTGTTAAATTCAACTTTCGAACAAGTACTTATTCATTTATAATCTTTGTTTATTAGATATCCTAGAATATGAATGGAAGTATGTTGTGGAGCTGTCAATTTCTTTTCTCAAATAAATTATGTGTCTAATGATTTTTTTTTGGAGCAAATGAAGAAGCAGTTAAAGAGCTACTTCTCGTTGTGTTTAACCTATAGACTTTCCAATTAGGTCTTCTATTATGTAGTCTCAGTTGCTACTCATGATTAGGTTTTTTCTTTTCTAATCTTGATAGAGTAAAGAAAGCCACAAATTCTTGGGACCTTGACATTCTAGTGAAGCAAGCAAGACATAAACCAATTTTACTATAAAGAATTGTGTTTGCTGTACATTGTTTTTATTCTACTTTAGTCTGTTTTATTGAGTGAATAATTAATCCATAAATAGGTTAATATATATTTTTGAACATCTAAGGAAATTTTTGTTCTTCTTTCATTATCTCAAGTTTTCTACGTAGTCTCTGTACTTGTGTTGGGCATTGAATAACTCAATTATCTGTCCTTTTTTCTTTTCAGAATTTTGAGTTATTGTAAGTTATACAAGAACAAAAGTCTTAAACACAAAGTTCTCTCCCTGTTTTTTGTTGGGTGGGGGCGTTTGGAAGGTGGAGGGGCTTTATGTTATTTGATGTGGATAAACATAGCCATTATCTCTTCCATTTACTGTCACTTCTTGGTTTCTTGTCCACATCATATTTGTTGCTCACAATGTGATACTAGGATACCCACTTTTTTGCTATTTATAGCAACTCGACTATTGTTATTGTGCCCATGCTGCCATAGAACTCTTTCCAGTTAACAGTTAATGGCCTTTAATACCAAGATTCTGTTCTTGCTTTGGTTGAAATTCTTTCTTATGTGAATTCTGAAATACAACTAATACTTTGCAACATAAATTGGGGAAAGAAGTTTTATATAGTTCAAGTGAGATTCAATCTATTATGTGAGAGTGTGCTACATTTGCTGCTCAACTGGAGATCTAGAACAAGATCACTTTATTGGCACCTTAAAGAAATTAAATATAGTTCACATTGGAGGGAATTATCAACTTTCATGACTGTGGCTAGTTAAAGGATAGATAGATAAAATTTACTTCTCTATTTACTGTTCATTCTCTGTTTTGTTAACTGTTTTTGCCCAGTCGTTATATTGCCTTGAATTTAATGTGTAGCATATCAACCCTCATGTCACTTTCATTGCTCCAATTTCTAGTTTTGGGTTCTCTTCTAGCTTAGAAACCTTTTCAAGCCAAGCTTGTTTTCTTTTCTAATTTTCTTTTCCATGCATCACATCAACTTTTCTGTCAACTTTTTCATGTTTTACCATCATTTAATAGCCTTCTTGATGATACCTCTTGATTAGTGTATTTTCTTTCCACAGAAAAGTGTAGATAATTTGATAGAAAGTCTACATGATTTTTTATTGTGCTTTTGTTTGCTTGATACTGGTAACAGATTTGTTCTAAATTTGGAATGCGACACGTTTTTCAGGTTTGTTGGACATGGATCCTTCAGTGCAGACTTTCCAACACCGCTCACTATCTGTCAAGTTGTGGCCCCCCAGTCAGAGCACTAGACTAATGCTTTTGGAGCGGATGGTCAAGAACCTAACAACTCCATCTATTTTCTCGAGAAAGTATGGTTTGCTGACCAAGGAAGAGGCTGAGGAAGATGCAAAAGAAATTGAAGAGGTAGCTTTTACAGCTGCAAACCAACACTTTCAAAAGGAGCCAGATGGTGATGGAAGTTCGGCAGTTCAAATTTATGCCAAAGAATCCAGTAAGCTCATGCTTGATGTTATTAAAAGAGGCCCAAAAGTGAGGGAGGATGGAGAGGTGAGGATAGAAAGAGCTGCTGGCCTTGAAACTGTCTTTGATATTTCTGGAGGCCGAAGAGCATTTATCAGTGCAGAGGAGGCTGAAGAACTTTTAAGTCCCTTAAGGGAGCCAGGGAACTCGTATACTAAAATTTGTTTCAGCAACAGAAGTTTTGGCTTGGATGCAGCCAATGTAGCTGCACCTATCTTGTTGGCCATTAAGGATCAGTTGAGAGACTTAGACTTATCAGATTTTATTGCAGGAAGGCATGAAACAGAAGCTCTTGAAGTCATGAATATTTTCTCTTCAGCTTTGGAAGGTTGCCAATTGAGGTATTTGAACCTTTCAAACAAT